AGGGTGGGCCATCTATTGGTACGTTTTTAAAAATGCGATCAAATGAGCATACATTGATATTTTTTATTAATTTTTTTTTTGTTGTGAAGCTAAAAGTATCCGCGTCAAGAATGAAAAACGATTTCGTTCATGTGGCTCCCTCTACTGGCCTTACAGTATGCCATTCGGTCACCCCAATTATATAAAAACGTACCAATAGATGGCCCACCCTTTATTAATTAGGTTGGATATTTAGGTTTTATTCGAGAAGCACGTATGCTTAGGGCCTTTTTTTATCTTTTTTAAAAAGGTAAGTTTGTACTGATATCACGCAATTTGTAGTGACGAACGTCTTTATAAAAAATTTATCTTATAATTGACTTCAACAGATTTTCATGTGTTTGTACGAAATTTGGAGAAGGTTAATATTGATCCTTTTTCTTTGAGTAATAATTTTTATATAATAAGTTTTAAAGGCGATTTCATACCCTTGAACAGTCCAATACGACAATAATGCATGTGGAATTAAATAACGCCCTCGTGTCTTCCAATCTAATCATGAAATATGTGGATCGTGGTCTTCTCTCCGTGTACAGTATAGAATATCTATATTTTTATTAACAAGATCTTTTTAATAATGAATAATTTTCATTCATTCTGTCTTTTTAAAAAACTGACCTATAGAGAGACAAACTTTTATTTTGTTTTTATTAATAGATGTGCTTTATTAGAAGAATATGGCCAGTTGATGTAAAACGTAAAATAGCAATGATCATTACATAAATCTTTAAAAAGATAGAAACATTTAACACATACTAGAGGTTATCAATGATATAAACTATCGCGCAAACTTACTTGCTATCGATAAAATAACGGGAATATGATGCATAAATACAATGATGTGAAAACACATTCTGTGAAAGATAACAAATTTTATGTAAATGTTATGATTATAAGAAATAAGAGATGGAAACATATGAAAAATCACTAAAAATTTCAAATTAAATATAATTTGTAATACAGAATAATTTCTTCTTAATTTTTCGTAAAAAGTTGTGTAAAGAATTATATATAAATTTTAAGACCTTCTATATATAATATTATCAACAATACAGTATTCAATTAATTTGATTATGTGTTATATATGTGATGAAGTCAGTAATTTATTAATAAACGTGGACATTTATTGAATAATCGGTGAATCATGTTTTCGAGCGAAGTCATCATTCTGTTTAAAAGTATAATATACTATATGTAACAATTTTGTTTTTAATTTTCCAAGTATGTCACAATTATGGTGAATTATTCTCAACCACACTCAATTCTATTACCAGAATGAACTAAGTGCAATTCTAGTATGTACGAGGTCAAAATAATTTATCACATGCGTCGGAATAATATAGTTTTAAGTTCAAGTTTAAGTTGAAATCTAAATCATTCCGTGCGGGTCAAGCTAACATGGCATATGGAGCGTATATAAATCCGATTAAGAAGAGGGAGCTTTCATTTTGCATTTGACATTATTCGCATCATATCATGTGGCTGTATCTGGTTTTTCTCTTAATCAGTAAGTAGATGTCAACGTTACAAATAATATTAGTATCTACGAAAATTGTACGATGACGTCATTTTTCATTTTTTAATGCGTATTTAAAAAAATTTTCTGTACATAGCAAAGTGATTATTACGAAATTTAAAATTATATATTGTTTCTCTTTTTTAATGGTGTGATTTATTCAAAACTGTAGAAGTTTAATCTCTTTTTAATAATATCAGGCAATTAATAAGAGGCAATGGGAGCTGGCACAAAAATCAATGCGTAAATTTAACAAAATAATCATTTATACAATATTTAACGACATGAATATTAAGTCGCAACAATTTATTTA